GGCACCTACTATCTGTCTCTCATTGGGTGAGATAGATTCTAGAAATACATATGCAGTCCTCTGTTTACTGCTCATGTGACAAAATTCAGGGCAGGTTTGCCTGATGGTGGCTGTTAATGATCTTTGGTACAGGAGTGGGTAGTAGTGCTTGCCCAGTTGATAGTTCTCTACAAGGCACAGATGCGACTGTGCCATATGGACCCAATTGCTGTCTCAAAAAAACAGACAACAGGAAAGACACTTGAGCCGCGGCAGCCCAGAGCCAGTCTTGGAACAGCATTGGTTCCTGAGGTCGATTCCCAGGGAGGAAACCCTGGGCCTGAGGTTGGGCTTGGGTGGGCCCTGGGAGATGCGAGAACAGCTGGACACACTGGTGGCTTTGGGAACTTCTGTCTTAATCAGCATTGGGAACTTAATCACAAAATAGCAATTAAATCTTGTCACCTACAGCTAAGTACCAAAAGCAGAGAATAGTGGTGCCAGAAATCCAGATTGTGAAGAGGTTGTATCATACCAATGTTATAAATGCCTGTGATGTCTCTGAGGAACTGAATATTTTAATTCATGAAGTGCCTCTTCTAGCAATGGAATACTGTTCTGGAGGAGATCTTTGAAAGCTGCTCAGCAAACCAGAAAATTGCTGTGGACATAAAGATATAAGGCCTAGGATCTAATATTTATATGAGAACAAAATTATGCATCATGACCTAAAACCTGAAAACATAGTTCTTCAAGATGTTGATGGGACGATACTGCATAAGATAATTGATCTGGGATATGTCAAAGACATTGATCAAGGAAGTTTATGTACATCTTTTGTGGAAGCACTGCAGTGTCTGACTCCTTAGTTTTTTTTGAGAATAAGCTTTACACAGCCACTGTTGATTATTGGAGCTTTGGTATCATGGTGTTTGTTTTGTACTGCCAGGTGTAGGCCTTTCTTTGTATCATCTGCAGCCATTTACCTGGCATGAAAAGATTAAGAAGAAGGATCCAAAGTATATATTTCCATCTAAAGAGATGACAGGAGAAGTCCAGTTTAGCCATTCACCTCAACCAAATAGCCTCTGTAGTTCATAGTAGAACCCATAGAAAACTGGCTACTGCTGATTTTGAATTGGGATTCAAGAACTATTGATCTTGTTTCAAAGCAGCCAAGATGTTTTATGTTAATGGATCACATTTTGAAGAACTGCAACGTCGGTAGTTCAAGCTCACCAGCTGCTCCTCGGAAACCCTATACAGGGTTGCTGTGGGTCGGAATCGACTTGATGGCACTTAACAACAACAACAACAGATACAAAATATGACTTCTGCAAAGATAATATTTTTTTTATTGCCTCCTAATGAAAGTTTCCATTCACTATAGTCTGGTATTGAAGACATGCTTTCAGAGATGGAAATTTCTCTATACCGTCAGTATCCAGCCTCTTAAAATGTTCTAGCTGTGATAACTATATGGTTCGTTTGATAAAAGTAAGACTGTATATGAAGGGTCATTTACTTCCAGCAGTTTATCTGACTAAATTATATTGTATAGCAAAATCCAGCTACCAATTACACAACTATGTAAAGTATGGGCTGAAACAGTACATTGTGTATCTGGGCTAAAAGAAAACTACAGCAGGCTCTGTCAGAGACAAAGAACAGCAATATTAAGTCTTTTTTAGATATAATGTTGACTTGACAAAAATAAAGAACACTGTGGCTTCAGCATCTCAGCAACTGAAAGCCAAAACTGGAGTTTTTTCACAAAAACATTCAGGTTTACTTGGAGAGATACAGTAAGTAGATTTCTTTTGTGATATTTTTAGGAAAAAATGTGAAAATAATGGAAGGAAATGGAAGCAAAGGTCATCCGTTATGCTGAGGTTGGTATCATTGGTTACTTAGAGGATTCGATCATGTCCTTACACACTGAAATCATGGAGCTTCTGAAGAGCCCCTAGGAAAGATGTCTGAAAGACTTGACGGAATCTCTGGAGCAGCATGCCATCAATCTATATAAATAGCTCAATCCTAGACTTCCAATCACTCCTACAGTGACAGCATGGAGATGGTGAAGATCATTGTGCGCACTGTGCAGTCAGGACCATGTTGAGCAAGTTGTTGGGCTGTAAGCAGATTATCGATCTACTCCCAAAGGTGGAAGTGGCCCTCAATAACAAACATCACAGAAGCTGACAATATTGTCATGTATATGCAGGGAAAAAGGCAGAAAGAAATATGTCATCGCCTTAAAATTGCTTGTAAATCAAGTTCTGCCTTGTAGGATCCAATCTAGATGGTGCAGTAACCCCACAGGCATCAACATGGCTGCCCTCATTTTCAATAAAATGGGAACAGCCTCTGTCATGCATGGTAACTCCTCAAGATGAAGACTTTAGCCCAAATGATAGAAGAAAATTTGAACTGTCTTGGCCATTTAAGCACTATTTGTGTGTGAGTGTGTTTTAAGTTTTTATTGTGAACTGAGTGATAGTTTACTTGGGAGAATATCGGCTTTGCACACATCATTTCATTGTAATGATACAATCTCCATGCATCATCATTCAACAGTATTTGCTTCCATTCCCTCCATTTTTTTGTTTGTTTGGTGTGTTTTTTTCGCAGGGGTTGGGAGAGGGATGTACACAAAAACACTCAGGAATATATAATTTAAACAGCCAAAGGGCACATTCTGCAAGCCTTCCTCCTGGCCACCAGCACCTAGTCCCTCTCTCTCCATGTGTCCAGAGTCCTCAGCTGCTCCCTCTCTCCATGTCCTTATTTCTGCCTCCATCTCTGATGTTGCTGCTTTTAAGCACTATTATTTGTGAAGCAAATGAGGATGAGGGCAATAGGATGATGAGTCTTGACTGGAATTGGTTATCAGAATGACTTGCCACTTGGTCACTGCCCCAAACATGAAAGTGGTCTGTGCATCTGTTGGATTTAGTTTTTACTCCATGAAACTTCTTCAGATACCATTCAGTGGAAGAAATGGCTGTGATCAGAAGCTACTTATGATTTTACAAATGTAGTTTTTCTGATTTTCACTAATTTTAACCTCTAAACAGATACAGTTCATAAAAAGTCAACAGACTTGTTTAACTACAATTTAAGAGCATCAGTGGGATTCAATTGTCTTCAAATGTGGTGCAAACATTACTTATTTTAAAAGTGGCTATTTAACATTTTAACTTTGGGATACATATGGCCAAAAGTGATGATGTGTAAAGCAAGAAGAAAACCTCACCATACATTTTAAGTAAGAGTTGTCTGCCTGTGTTTCTGTTCAAGAGACTGCTTGTGTACAAGTAAAATTGGACTTCTTGGAGAATGAACCCTACTACTGCATTATACTCAACAATTGTTCCTGGCATCATAAGGACTTGGCTTAGTTCCATTTTCAGTTTTACTGCACATGTGGCTGTGTCCCTTTCCTATAATAGGGTTTGTGAGTCTCTGCCTTTAATGCCATTGGCTCATACATTTTGTTAAGGAGTGTGTTGTGTGTATATGTATTTATGACATACATTTAATAATATTAGAAATGACACCTGTTACTTTATAATGTATTTGAAAGCTTATCTGTTTTTTCATTTTAAAAAATGGATCTTTTTTGTTTTGTTTTAGAGAATCTTTCATTTATTGTATATACAGATTTATAAACTTATTGTAAATTCCAAATACACAAAAATATGAAAACTCAAGGGTTTTTTCTAAGCTTTTTGACTACTCTCCTTTGCTTTCAAATCTAATCTGATCTGGCATCAAATCTACTTATCCCATTTACTGTAAATATCCATTTATTTACTACAGAAATATTAATGGTTCTGATTATGAAGTATGCTGCCTCAGACCCTGCTGGGGAGTTATATAATATATAGTATGGTGTACTATGAGTTATGCACTGAATAGTTACCATTTTAAAATCTGAAAATTTCAGAATTTTGAAACATCTGGCCTGAAGGGTTTTAGATAAAGGACTGTGGATCTCAATATCTGTTAATTTAGAAGGTATTGTTTGTTTTTTTAAAAATGTGAAATGCTTTTTTATATTAGGCTAAGGTGGGGTCTGGCTACCAGGAAAGTGGGGAACAAGGGAGAACCATAATTCCCCCACCCTTAATCTCCAGAGAGCATCCTGTGCCTCCAGGCTATTGTGTTGACCGACCTACAAAGGCTCAAGACGCTGAACCAGGCCAGCTGAGAGTCCACCAGTGTCTCACATCTCTCACTGGTTGCTCTCGGTTACTTCTCTCAGTCAGTATTCTGTCCACCTCTTTATCCTGTCTTCTGAAGCTCAGGTTTCAAATCTCTATGCGTGTCTGTTTCAGGTGGTCTTCCATGTCTGTGTTTCAGAGTGTCTGCTCAGTGCATCTGCCTACTATACCATCTTTCCCTGAAAGAACCTACTTCTACTTCTACAGTGATGACGAATTGCATTGTTAGATTTCTTTGATTTTTATGTTCAGAATTACAGAATCTACTGATTTTTTATTTCTTGACATTTTAAATGAAATCTTTGAGTTTTTAATCCTTTTCTTAAATACAGGTAGTCTCCAGTTTATGATGGGGTTCCATTCTGATGATACTGGCATAAGTAAAAGATCTCATTTTCTTTTATTTTTTTAGTTTCCATCATTATTGCCTTTTATCATATCGATGTCTTTATAATGTGATCTTTACTTATCTTTGGACTTTGGAACCATTACATGTACATTTATAGATACATTTTTACATAAATACACAGATCATGAAATAATGTACAGTGTAAATGTGTGGTTCATTGTATTACTTCATAAGTTGGAACTACCTATTATGAACGTGTATATTGTACATTGCTTTTACCCAGTTTTTATGTTCAGTTATTATGTTAATTAGTTAAAATTCATTTTTAAGTATATCAATTTTGACAATATTTTTGCATAGATTTTCTTTAAAATCCAGATTATGTTTTGAAGCATCATTAACAATAAGTCAATCAGATTAAATAAAATACCTTATCTTTTCAGCACAGATGAAGCTGCCACTGAGAATATTTTAAAAGCTGAACTGACTATGGCTGCTCTCTGTGGAAGGCTGGGCCTTGTAACTTCAAGAGATGCCTTTATAACTGCAATATGCAAAGGTTCCTTGCCTCCTCATTATGCTCTTACTGTTTTGAATACCACCACTGCAGCTACACTTTCCAGTAAATGTAAGACTTAAACTTACTCAAATTCTTGTCATCTAGTGGCGTGACATAGTGTAGAAAAAAATCAGAGAACTTCCTTAGTTCAGTTTCAGGTGTTTGACTCACTGCCTCTGTGATGTTGAGGAAGTTAATATTCCGAAGCCTGCATTTCTTCCATCTCTTTTTTTTTTTTTTTAGATCTGGGGAGACAATACCAATTTTAAGCAAGTTCTAACTTGTAAATACCAGTTTAAAACAATAGTTGTGAGGATAAAATGCAATAAATCTGAAGTTTTTTTGTAAATTAGCATTGTTGAAATGGTGGTGATTTTTGTTGTTGTTGTTCTTTTTAGTGAAAGAAGTTCTGGTAGTATAGTGGTTACAAATTAGGCTGCTAACCTCAGGGTCAGCAGTGCCAAACTACCAGCTGTTCCGTGGGAGAAGGATGAGGCTTTCTGCTCCTGTAATGATTTACAGCCTCGGAAACCCTGTACAGAGGTGCTATGAGTCAGAACCGACTCCACAGCACATAACAACAACAACAATAGAACAGTAATGCTTGCAACCACTTAGATTAGGTTAACACCCCAATTTTTTCTTTAATATTGAAAATTCTCATTTGTTATGTATAATATAAATATATTTTAATATGATAATCAATTTTAAGACTGAAAATGTGAGTAGTATTCTGGAAATCCAACCAAAGCAAACTTGTTGCCATCGAATCCATTCCAACTCACAGCAAGCGTATAGCACAGAGTAGAATTGCGCCATAGGATTTCCAAGACTGTAAACCTTTACCAGAGTAGACAGTCTCATGTTTCTCCCTCAGAGCAGCTGGGGAATTTGAAGCACAAAATTTTGCAGCCTAATACTTAACCCACTGTGCCTCTCACAGGGCTCCTCATACTGGGGGTACATGTTTAAAATGCTTACTGTGTCCTAATATTTTGCTTATAATGAACTATACCAGTGCTTTTATAATTTTTTAAATTGTGTAGCAAAGTTTCAATAGTTCCATAGCTTACCTTATCTATATCTCACAAAATTTTTAAATGTTTGGTAAAAATTTTGTTGTTTTTGGTTTGTACTGTTGAGTCGGTTCTGACTCACAGCGGCCCTGAGTTTTCTGAGGCTTGTGAATCTTTATGGGAGCAGAAGGCCTCATCTTTCTCCTGCAGAATGGCTAGTGGATTTGAACTACTGACTTTTCAGCTAGCTTGCAATTTATGTTTTTCATTCAGCATTGTGTCTTGCTCTCTCCTCATATTGATAAATGTATACAGATTTAGTTAATTAGTTTTAATTGCTGTATTCTAATTTGGGGCAAACGTATGACTAAATTTATTTATTCATTCCTCTATCAGTGGATATCTCAATGCTGCAATGAATGCAATGCCTAGAGTGACACCTAATGTGTTCTCAAAAAAAATTTAATGCATGAGGGGAGGGAGGCAGGTTTCTAAATCAAGCAAAAGGGACATAAAATCTCTCTCTCTTTTTTTAACTTCCAATTATTTTCTGTTAATGTCCACTTTATTGGACACATTGGTTAAAAATACGCATGTTTAAGTAAATGTCACAATTGAACTTGTTTCAGTCAAATTAATGTTTTAAAATATAACATTTCTTTGAATATAACATGTAAGTATGTTTTAATTATTTAGGCTTCCCTTTGTATTCTAGCATATTCCATTCAAGGTCAAAGTGTTATGATGATAAGTCCATCAAGTGAATCTCACCAGCAAGTTGTGGCAGTAGGTCAGCCTCTAGCAGTCCAGGCTCAAGGGACAGTGATGGTAAAGTACTGCTTCATTTTTTTTTAACCAATTAATTATCAAGAAAATCTTTTTTGTCCTTTCTTGGTTATTTGTCAAATTTATTATGGAACTTTTATTTTTAATGGTATAGAAGAAAGAAGTTAAAACTAATCAGTTGATATTATTTTAACCAACTATGGTAAAAAGTTAATCCAGTGAATTTGTTCTGTAAAATATTATTGAAGATAGGCATCCAAACCTATTTTCTTAATACTGTTATTTATTTTATATAAAAGAAAATCTTTGAATATGAAAATGCTGCTTTACAAGCATTTTAGTTTTCAGGGGTGCTTAACAGTTTTGCAGATGCATTCTTTTTTGTGTCTAGCTAACTTCCAAAAATATCCAGTGTATGCGGACATTACTTAACTTGGCACACTGCCATGGAGCTGTTCTTGGAACATCATGGCAACTTGTCTTGGCAACTCTACAGGTATGGTATAGCCTCTGGGTCAGAGATCGGTGTTCTTTTTATATCTAAGTACTAACACACTAAGCAGTGCCTGTTAGTCCTTTGAATAGGCCTCAAGAATAGGCACTAAGTATGAAAATAGATTATAAAGAAAGGAGATACATCTCATAGGAAGTGATCAAGTGCTTTTTATAACAGCTTAAGTTCTACTGCCTGCACTTAGTGAAATAAGTCTTTTAAAAAATGTAATTACTGATTTTAATTTTAGTTATTAGAAATTACTATTGTTGTTGCTCTTGTTGTGTGCCATTGACTCAGTTCCCACAATTGTGACTGTTTAGGACAAGGAGCTCTGGTAGCGTAGTGGTTACGAATCGGGCTGCGAACCTTAAGGTCAGCGGTTCGAAACTACCAGCTGCTCCGCGGGAGAAAGATGAGGCTTTCTACTCCCGTAAGGATTTACACCCTCGGAAACCCTGTACAGGGTCGCTATGGGTCGGAACCGACTCGACGGCACTTAACAACAACAACAGGACAGAATAGAACTGCCTCATTGGGTTTCCAAGCTGCAGTCTTTATGGGAGCAAATTACCAGATGTTTTCTCTCATGAAACCTCTGGTGGGTTCAAACCACTGGCTCTTTTATTAGCAGACAAGTGCTTAACCCTTGCACCACTAGGGTTTTACATACTAAAAGTTGCTACAGATGTTAATTTTAGTATTAGAATTCCTGTAGTTTTGTAAGTTTGTTTTGATTTTGATGCATTTTTCTGTTTATTTTTTATAGCATCTTGTATGGATTCTAGGATTAAAGCCTAGCAGTGGTGGTGCCTTGAAACCTGGGAGAGCTGTAGAAGGCCCCAGTACAGTAAGCCCTAGTCATTTTTATCCAGCTAGTGCTTCCTAGAATGTTCCTATGTTATATTTAATTCTATTCCTTTCTTAGGTTCTAACAACAGCTGTGATGACAGATTTACCAGTGATTTCCAATATACTTTCAAGATTGTTTGAAAGCTCACAGTAAGAGTCAATTTTTTAAATTGAAAAGAACGTTGTTATTATGTATATGTTTTACATCAAAATGTCTTATTACTTCATTTTTATTTTAGGTATCTTGATGATGTATCATTGCATCATTTAATAAATGCGCTTTGCTCCTTATCCCTAGAAGCAATGGATATGGCCTATGGAAATAATAAGGTGTGATATTCTACCTCTCTGTTTTAAATATGGTACATTACTTAATTAAATAAGTTATTCACCCAACAGTAAAGTCACTTTGTAGCCTAACCATATTTTGGGGTTTTGCCACGTATGATTGTTATTTGATGAAGGAAAAAAGAGGACATGTTTTAGCTTGTGATATATGTTGCAATTGCAAATTGTGTTTATTTCTTTGTAGATTGAATATTGTTATAAAGAATATTGCAACGCTTTTTAAATAGAACTCTACAAATTGTCACAAATTGTTTGTAATTTGAAGCACAAATTTATGATTGGGATAGCTCATTATTTAACTCAAGGAATATAGATCAGTGTCTTAATTCCTCTTAGTTGGTTTGGGATGGAAAATAAGAAGCTAATAATCTTTTTTTTTTTTTTAAGTAATAGTTCTCCTTTAGTGTTACTATCCATGAAAATGTACCTTGGTAATCAAATTTTTGTTTTGTTCATTTACTCAGTTATATAGTTGTTGTTGTTGTTAAGTGCCATCAAGTCGGTTCTGACCCATAGCGACCCTGTACAGGGTTTCCGAGGGTGTAAATCTTTACGGGAGTAGAAAGCCTCATCTTTCTCCTGCGGAGCGGCTGGTAGTTTCGAACTGCTGACGTTAAGGTTCGCAGCCCGATTCGTAACCACGACGCTACCAGACCTCCTTATATAGTAGTATTTTTAAATACTGACATTCAAGAACATTTCTGTGCTCAAGAGTATCATTTTCTATTTTACTTGGAAAGCAAAGGAATATTTGGATTTATTTCTATCTTAGAAATAGTTATTTTAAATGCCATCTGCACTTTAAAATTAATCAGTGTAGTTTACAGTGACCATTTATAAAAAAGTGAAGGCAACCAGAATATGAATAAAAACCTAGAAATGCCACTTTGCTGTTTAACATCTAACTGTGGTGGTGGTATGTCATCAAATTGGTTCCAACTCACAGCAACCATGTATAGAGTTTCTGAGGCTGTAAATCTTTACAGGAGCAGAAAGCCTCATCTTTCTCCCACAGAGTGACTGGTAGATTTGAACTGCTGACCTTGCAGTTAGCAGCCCAGCTCGTAATCCACTGTAGGATACAAAAAGATGTTGCCTCCCTGGTCCTTAAGTTATAGTTTTGTGTATTGTGAATGGTCATTTGGATTATGTAATTTAAAGATTAGTCAAAAAGATGTTACTAGGTCCACTCTCACATATCAAACCACATAACTAGAGAATTACACAAATAGGCAAATGTCCATACAGACACTAGAACATAATATAGTTTCTTCCAAAAGAATACTATAAATTTATAGTGATGTTATCAATTTCTTGATATCAGAATAACCATGCATCTTAAAATTTAGATGAATTCTTAACACAAAACTAAAGAACTTTTAAGAATACCATAATGAAATCTGAGCAGATTTAGATTATAATGTGTTGAGAATTTATGTATTTACTCAACAAGCCCAATATGCATGCTATGTACCTGACACTTCACTAGGAGATAGGAGTCTTTTATTTGCAAAGTTAAGTAGTGTTGATAGTGTTGTTAAGTTTCATTGACTTGGTTCCAACTCATAGTGACCTTGTATAGGATTTCTGAGGAGGGGCTGGTAGGCTTGAACCACCGACCTTGTGGTTAGGAGTCCAGTAGTGTCTGTTCTACAGCATCCCACGATGACTCCATTTTAAGATAGTTGTTGTTGTTAAGTGCCATCAAGTCAGTTCTGACTCATAATGTCCCTGTGTAGGGTTTCTGAGGAGTGGCTGGTGAGTTTGAACTGCCAACCTTGCAGTTCACACTGGCCTTGTGGTCCAGTTTTTATCCTACAGCTTATCCTACAGAGTCTAAATAAAGGAGTTTTGGTAGCGTAGTGGTTACGAATTGGGCTGCTAACCTCAGGGTCTACCAGCTGTTCCGCGGGAGAAAGATGAGGCTTTCTGCTCCCGTAAAGATTTACAGCCACAGAAATTCTACACAGGGACATTACAGGGTCACTGTGAGTAGTGACGCATAACAACATGCGCATAACAACAACAATTGTTAAGTATTGTGAAATTTATCTGAAGCCTTAATATCTTGCTACAGAAGAAGTTTTTATTACTTAAATATATTAAGAGGAATTCCGATTAATCAAGATGAACTAATGTGATTAGGGCTGGATATTGAAGGAGCTCTGTTAGCATAGTGGTTATGAATTGGGCTGCTAACCTCAAGGTTGGCAGTTCGAAACTACTAGCTGTTCTGTGGGAGAAAGATGAGGCTTTCTGCTCCCGTAAAGATTTGCAGCCTCGGGAACCCTGTGCAGGGTCACTATAAGTCGGAACTGACTCCACGGTATGTAATAACAACTGAAGGAATGGCAGAATTTAAGTAGGTAAGAAAAGGGCAGGTTCATAGAAATCAAAAGAGAAGTAGATTGTAAGAAATCAAGATAAAATTTGTGTTGTTGTTTGCCGTGGGTTCAATTCCAAGTCACAGGAATCCTTTATGAAGAGTAGGACTATTCTATAGAGTGTCCTGAATTTCTAATCTCTGTATGGGAGCAGACCACCTGGTCTTTTCTCTTGCATTGCCACTGGCAGATTTGAACTGCTGACTTTTCAGTTAGCAGCTGAGTGCTTAACATTGAAGAAAAAATATATAGATTTTATAATAGTTTATTATCCACAAAAAAGTATAATTTCACAATAGTGGTAGGAGCAGATGCCGTATTTCACAGAGACTGAGAGGAAATAAGTATTGAGAAGTGGATCACTGAACAGAGTGGAGCTAATTTCCATATTGAGAATGGATTCATGTGCCTCTGCTAGAATTTTTAGTTTTGTAAATTTAAGTGGTAAATACGGAATGGAAATACAAGCTTTATAAAATATTTAACTATAAATTTTGTGAAAGCATTCAAGTATTTATAATTTTTATATAGAAACTTTCTAAAAATGTTTAGGTAGAGGCTATAAAAGTTTGTATTTAGTTGTGCCTTCTATAAAAATCATACATATGCAGATGTTAAACTAAGATACTTTTATAATTATTTTTATACATTATCAATATAAAATAGAAGATTTATCAACTTCAGCTGTTCTGAGTGAGTGAAATATTCTTGGAATTAAATGTTTTTCAGATCTGGTTTGAAAGTGACCAGCCATCTCAGTTATGGTCCTCATTTCAAGAATTTGTATTAATGTGGTTAGGGAATAGCTTTTGGTAAAGTTAACAAATTCTTAAGGAAGTTGATGCTGATGGCCCTTGTGCAGGCATATTACCAAACTCAGTATAACAACAAAAATGACTGTTCATTGAGTGTTTGTGCCAGGCAGTAATTTATATAAATGGTTACTGCCTTGACAACTGATGGAAGAGGTCCATATTTGTGCCCATTCCAAAGAGAGGTAGCCCAACAGAATGCAGAAATAATTAAACAGTATTATTAATATCACATGCAAGTACAATTTTGCTGAAGATAATGAAAAAATCGTTTCACTGGTACATCGGCAGAGAACTGCCAGAAATTCAAGCCGAATTCAGAAGAGGATGTGGAACTAGGGATATTATTGCTGGGGATATTATTATGGGTCTTGTCTGAAAGGAGAGAATACCAGAAAGATGTTTATTTGTGTTTTATTGATTACGCAAAGACTTTCAACTATGGATCAGGACAAATTGTGGATAAAATTATGAAGAACAGGTATTCCAGAACACTGAATTGTGCTCATAAGGAACTATATATGCACCAAGAGGCAGTTGTTAGAACAGAACAAGAGAATACTGAATGCTTTAAAATCAGGAAAGGGTTGTAGCCTTTCACTGTCCTAATTCAATCTGTAAACCGAACAAATAATCTGAGAAACTGGATTATATGACATCATGAGAAGTGTAAGACTCATTAACAACCTGCAACATGTAGCTGACACAACCTTGTTTGATGGAAATATATACTGGTTAAGATGAAAGACAGCAATCTCCTTTATGGGTTGCACTTCAATGTAAATATGGCAAAGATCTTCATAACTGGACCAATAAATAACATCATGATAAATGGAGAAAAGATTGGAGTTGTCAAAGACTTCCTTTTGCTTGATCAACAATCAATACTCACGGAAGCAGCAGTCAAGAAATCAAAGGATCTACTGCATTTGGCAAATCTGCTGCAAATGACCTTTTTAAAGTGTTTAAGAGTAAAAATATCAGGTTGACGACTGAACTGATCCAACTCTATTTTTTTTTAATGTTTTTATTGTGAATTGAGTGCAAGTTTACAGGGAAGAGCATCAGTTTTACATTCAGCAAATTATGCACCTTGTTTCATTACAACGATTATAATCCCCTCTATGTACCATCAGTTAACAGTATTTCTCTCTTTTCATTTTAGCTCTTTTTTAAAATAAAAAAAAACACACCATACATCTATAACCAAAGGGACACATTCTACAAGTGTGCTTTCTGGCTGCCAGCTCTCAATCCCTCTCTTCCCTTGAATCTAGAGTCTTCAGCTGTTCCCTCTCTCCATGTCCCCATCTCTGCCTCTATCTCTGGTGTCACTTCTCTGGATAAGGTTCCAAATTCTGCTTGTGCTTGTCTCCCTTGATGGTCCTGTGGTCCTCTGTTTCTGGACTGTAAGAATAAGTACTCCCCTATTTTTGTTAACAAATCTTCTGCCTTTACAATTGTGACAGTCTCAATTAATCATGGTAACAATTACTCACTGTTGAATCCTAAGACTCTTACCTCCATTTCTTTTTACCAGACCCATCTACACAAGATGAAAACTATTCAGTGGGAACTCTATCTTCCCTCACACACTCATCCTTTTAAACTAAACTCCCTCTTGAAACCACCTTGTAAGCCAATCACTTTGTGCCTTTATCTCTCCCTCATTTTAGGTAGCCAATGTCTAAGTTGCCTGTCCCTATATACCCTGTGTACAGAGGGGATAGCATTGATACTTGATGTGAAGACTCCTTCCCTGTATGTTGGTATTTCGATTTATTACCTCCATGAGTATAGGTCAAGTTCATCAAATTGTAGCAATTTACCCTCATTTCCTTTATCAAAAAAAAAATCTTTTTTTTAATCTTCCTCTGGTCGAGTTCTGATCATCAAGCCATTAAGACTAGGTCAGATGGGTACTATCTGCAAGTTTGGGTGTTCTTGTATGTCTCCCCTCTCACTTCATATCAGCTGGATGCTTCACTCTCAGCTCTAGCCCTCCATGTCCTTGTCCCTGGGCTCAGGTGTCCCCAGGTCTCAGCACACTTTGGACCAACCAGCCCTTCCTCTTCTCTCTCCCATCTCCAGGTCAACGGGAGTCCATGGAACATAGTAGAACTCAGACCATTTCTTCATTGCTGCCTTTTCCCCTTTTCCTCTCACCAGTAGACTAATGTGGTCATCAGCAAGCTTACATGCCTGCTCATATGTTCCCTTTGAGTTTCAATCTTAGAGGGGGGTTTGTCCTGAGGGAATTTGTTTGGTTGCCTTGATGGCTTCCAGGCAAACAACTTGCTTATTCTTGTAGTAGCCAGTCATACTGCCATTTTTGTTTTGGGTTTTTCCTGATAATCTTTCTTTGAGGATATATCTTCTGTTGCTCTGGTTGTTCCAGGCTTGTCAATTGAACTGATCCAACTCTTGGTATTTTCAATTGCCTCATATGAATGTGAATATTGGATAATGAATAAGAAGACCATAGAAGAATTGATGCATTTGAATTGTGGTGTTGGAGAAGAATATTATAAAGTACCATGGACTAACAGAAGAACAAATATTGGAAGAAGTACAATAAGAACATTCCTTAGAAGTCAGGATGGTGAGACTTTGTCTCTCATATTTCAGACATGTTGTTAAGAGGAACCAGTCTCTGGAAAAAGACAACATGCTTGATAAAGTGGAGGGTCAGTGAAAAAGAGGAAGGACCCCCAGGAGATGGATCAGCACAGTGACAGCAGCAGCGGGCTCAAACATAACAATTGTGACGGTGGCACAGGCGCACGCAGGCTTTTATTCTGTTGTGCAGAGGGTTTCTATGAGTCGGAACCAACTCAGTGACACCTAACAGCAACAGCTAACATTTTTTTATTTAATCATTTTAAATGCCTCTAAGGTTCAGTGTCAATTCCCCTGTTTACAGATAAAAATATGAAAGCAGAAAGCTTTTGAACTAACTTGCCTAAGGTTATCTACTTGGTAATTGGGAGAGATTGGATTTGAACCCATGTAGATCTCTTTTTATACTCCTGTTATGGCACTGTAGGATAAGCACTGGACTGCAAACCACAAGATTGGCAGTTCAAACCCATCAGTTGCTCCTCGGAAACCTTTTAGGGATGCTTTGAGTTGGAACTAACTCGACAGCACGTAACCACAAAAGATCTCTTTCCCAAACTCCATTCTTAACCACTTTGCTAATAGCTCTCACTTTTGGTGTGTGTCAGTCTGCTTTAGAGTTTTTTTAAATATAAAAATGTAAATCCCATATTCCAAGCATCCTGAATCAGAATCTTTGGGCATAGGATCTGGGTTCATTCTTTTAAATGATATACATGTGCACACCTTAATTAAAAGTATTAGAATAATAATTTGGTGGTGGTTATTGTTATTAAGTGCTGTTGAGTTCCTTCTGATGCATAATTAGTCGGCCTACATAGGGTTTCCAACACTGTAATTCTTTGTGGGCGCAGAAAGCTTTATCTTTCTTCACTGGAGCACCTGGTGTGCTCAAACCGCTGACCTTGTGGTTCACAGTCGTGCTTAGCGTACAGAGCCACCACACTCTTAAAGGTAGTAATGTCATTGTTAAAGTACACTCAAGTCGGTTCTGACTCATGATGGATGACACTTTATAGGGTTTCCATGCTTTGCATCTTTGCAGAAGCAGAAAGCCTCATAATCCTTCCGCAGAGCAGCTGGTGGGCATGAACTGCTGACCTTGTGGTTCACAGGCCAGCGATTATTGTGCAGAGCCAAGGTAGTAATGTTGTTGTTATGTGCCGTGGTGTCGGTTCAGACTCATAGCGACCCTGTATAGGGTTTCTGAGGCTGTAAATCTTTACCGGAGCAGAATGCCTCATCTTTCTCCCGCTGAACACCTGGTAGTTTCGAACTGCTGACTTTGAGGTTCACAGCCCGATTCGTACCCACTATGCTAATAAGCAACATTTATTGGGGACTACTTAACTGCATAGAATCTATCCTTCCTAACCTGAGGTAGTTGGTAAACTTTTAGGACAGGTTCTATGCTAGTATTGTTTCCATTTTACAGATTATAAATAAAACTAACATTTAGAAAAGTTTGTGGCTTACCCAAGGTTATATATTTATTAAGTTGTAGAGATGATATCCCAAGCATTTAAAAATTCACAGACAAGGTATTCACCACTATACCATGTTATCTCTAGAGTCATGAAATTTTCTACCGTGAAAGTTTTTAGGGTACCTGCAACATAAGTAAGGAGCCCTGGTAGTGTAGTGAGCTACTTACTGGGTTGCCAATGGAAAGGTCAGCAGTTCGAACCTACAAGCTGTTCTGCAGGAGAAAGATGAGGCTTCCTGCTCCACTGAAGATTTATATGTTCAGAAAGCCTATACAGGGTGCCTATGAATCAGAACCTACTCAAAGGTACTTCACCACCACTACAACATTAGAACATATAAGAAAAGTTGACCTGACCATCTTTGTCTTACCAGCCCCATTGTACTTGTTTCAATTTACTGACTCATACTGAATTATTCTAGGAAAGGACTATAGTTAGACACTTTAATATTACATTTTATCAGCAACAAAAATGTTAAATATTTAGAATAAAAAGATCCTTTCTGCTAATAATATAAAATTATTATGCTTATATATGTATATTTTTTAGTTTTCTGTCTTTTTTTTAATGTTATGTCTCAGTTTGTAATATTACAGTTACCCATTCGAAAATACATGTGGTATCAATAAGCCAAATTTGTGTTTAAGCATATATTGCCACCTGTTAGTAATGGATTAGAGATGAATTGCCTGTTGGTTTTTTTTCACTGAAAGTGTTCCTACAACACATGGACCAAGTACTCCAATGTAGCTATATGTGGTGGACACTGATTCCCTTTCTGGCTATTGAATGCCAGTGGCTTTAGACAATGGTTTTATCGTAATGTCTCTTTTATTCTTCTGTCAGTGTCTAGAACTGACCGGCCTAACATGACATACTCTTGGCTTCATATCTTCTTCCTTGGTTCATTTTGTCATCTTTGTGGGGTTTTTTTTTTGTCATACTGACATCAAGACTAATAGGAATCCCTAGAATGTCAGTGCACAGACACTTCAAGACTACTAGGAATGCCTTTTTTTCCATCTGGTCAGAAGACTAGCAATTCATTCTGTATGTCTGGTATAAGTTGAATTTTGACCTACTAAAGTGTTTGCCCACGAAAGTATTCTCTTCTAACCAAGTTTTTCATTCTGGACAATCCTAAATAGCTGAGATTGGCAGAAAGACTTGACACTTGAAATTTTTATATTAAATTATATATTAAATATGCTCTCCAAAGATTTTCTCAGTTGTATTTACTATTGAATCTTCACTGTTTTTCTTCAAGTATCGAAATGCAGTATGTTTTCTCCCTAGGAACCTTCTCTTTTTGCTGTTGCCAAATTGTTAGAAACAGGCCTTGTTAACATGCACCGAATAGAAATTTTATGGAGACCTCTAACTGGCCATCTACTTGAGGTAATCTCAGTTTCTTAAACATTATTTTAAATTTTGTTAAGGAGTATTGAATGACTAACCTTTTATGCGTGTGTGATAATTAGATTACCAGAATAAAGATATACGCATTGAAATAATGATTCTGAATAACCATTTAAAAAATCAGAATTAACCTTTATTCCCCACTTTTCTGACCTTGGACTTTCTGTATGTTTTATGAAGAACTCAAGTTGTATAGTAATTGGTTTCATGAGGGAGTACTTTGCTTTTATTGACAGGAAATGGGTAAAATTTTAAGCTAAGAAGTAACAGTGAAATCTCTGATGTACCAATTCAACTGTTAGGACCTTCAGCTTGGACCTCTTTATTGTATTACAGTCTTTTGATCACCTCAATTCCAGCTAGTTCTGAAACAACTCCAAGATAATTCGTGCTGAGAGTGAAAAGTAAATAGCCTTTGCTATGATTATAAGATGACATGTATACAAAGTGATAAACTTATAGATGTTGTTCTGTGCCGTGGAGTCAGTTCCAACTCATAGCGACCCTACGTAAGGTTTCCGAGGCTGTAAATCTTTATGGGAGCAGAAAGCCTCATCTTTCTCCCGTGGAACAGTTGGTAGTTTTGAACTGCTCACCGTGAGATTAGCAGCCCAATTCAAATTAATGCCAGGGAATTTTATCTGTGAAGTTATATTATCTTGGTTTCAGCTTGGGGTGATTTGTAATAATTAGCTGCTTCTGGCTGTTTTGTGTGCAGTTTAGGTTTTGTTTACTAGGGTTGTCTTATTTTAATAACAGGAAATGCATTATATTCAGTAAGAAAAACAAAGATGCATAGGGTTTTTAAAAATTTTGTTTTAATTTCATTGGGTTGACTTTTATTAATTATTAAGGGATTAGGCACATTTCTTCATATTGGATATTCGCATAAAACGGCAAAAAAAAAGTAGTTTTTTTGGTACTATATTTAATTATGAGACTAGACTAGATAGGTGCCTAGCATCAGTTTACTTCTTTTATGCACTCTAATGATAATGGCACTTTCATGAACTTCTTTTTCCTGTAGTTTCATCTTTTCTTCTTCTGTCTTTTTATTGCTTCCTTTTGCCTCTTATTCAGAAGGTAAGCTTACTTATATTTCAAATATAATTTTCCTATCAACTATTTAGCAGATGACTATTTGGTATAATTTTTAAACTTTGAAAAAAACAACCAGGAAATATATTTAATTATTTCTTTTTTCAGATTGATGTTATGATTTGTATCTTAAGTATAAAAATTGAACACTTTTTGTTCAATATTTGTGCCTTCAGGTCTGCCAGCATCCAAACTCTCGAATGAGAGAATGGGGAGCAGAAGCTTTAACTTCACTTATTAAAGCAGGACTAACGTTTAGTCATGATCCTCCACTTTCAAAAAATCAGGTAATTTCAGAGACGTCTGTGTCCTATCTCATTTTTAAAAAGAATGCTTAGTGTAAAATCAACCGTCCACATGTGTATGTCTTTTAATTTATCAAATGGGTGATATTTTAAAGATAGGTGTTTGTTACTAATTGATATGCCTGGATTTTTACGCTTATCTTTGTACTAATGACAATTATTAAGGAGTCCTGGTGTTGCGCTGTGGGTTAATGTACTGGACTGAAAGGTCAGTTTGAACCACAGAGTTGGTGGTTCAAGCTCACCAGCTGCTCCTTGAAAACCTTATACAGGGTTGCTATGGGTCAGAACCAACTCGATGGCACTTAACAACAACTTCATATTAAATTTTTAAAAATTTTCTTGTGACTCATAGAATTAATAAATTACTTTGCTTCGGCCTCCCAGTGTACAAGTTCCCTTCTTCATGTAGTACGGTGACCACTGGTGAAGCACTTAGATGCTAAGTAACCAAAAGTTTGATGGTTTGAACCCACCCACCCTGTAACTCCACAGGAGAAAGACCCTGCATTGTGCTCCAACAAATATTAGATGTTGTCGAGCCACTTCGGACTTTATATCCACCCTGTATCATGTTTCCACGACTGTACATCTTTGTGGGAGCAGAAAACCTCATCTTTCTCCTACAGAACAGCTAGTGGACTTCAACCACTGACTTCATGGTTCATAGTCCAGTGCTTATTGTGCAGAGCCATCACACTCCCTCCATAAATGTTGTTGTTAAGTGCCATCGAGTCAGTTCTGACTCAGCAACCCTGTGTAGGGTTTCCAAGGAGTGACTGGTGGGCTTGAACTACCAACCTTGTGGTTAGTATTCCTGTGCTTATCATACAGAGCCACTCTAGGACTACCCCATAAACATTGAGTCATGAAAGCCCTATGGGGTAGTTCTGCTCTGTCACATAGTGTTACTATGAGTCAAAATCAACTCAACAGTACCTAACAGCAACGACTTTATTAGCCTATTTTGCTTTGGTCCTTATTTACTTATTTTTTCTGCCTCACTACTCTTACATACCCAAGCCATGTTATTTTCAATAACCACCTATGTATGTGAATGGTGGACAGTGAATAAGGAAGATCATAGAATAATTGATGCATTTGAGTTATGACTTTGGAGTATTAAAAGTACCATGAATTGCCAAAAGAACAAACCAGTCTGTGTTGGAAGAAGTACAGCCAGAATGTTCCTTGGAAACCAAGATGACCAGATTTCTTCTCTCATACTTAAGACATATTTTCAGGAGGGGACCAGTTCCTGGAGAAGGATATCATATTTGGTAAAGTGCAGGGTCAGAGAAAAAGAGGAAGCCTCCCCCCCCACCCCCCCAACTAGATGGATTTGCACAGTGGCAGCATCAATAGGCTCAAACATAGCAACGTTTGTGAGGTTGGCACAGGACTGGGCAGTGTTTCATTCTGTTGTCCTTAGGGTCACTATGAGTTGGTACCAACTCGATTGCACCTAATAACAACAACTGCAACAGCTTTTACAGGGGGCTGGAAGAAGTAGCACAAGAAACAAGCACATTAAAATAGATTTCATTTTTAAATAGCTTAAAGTATTTTATACATACAGAGTTAAGTTTGTTTCTGGGACTTTTTTGTCCTTTCCTCTTTATCATTCATGTGTATCTTAGAGAGCTTTTAGAAAAATCCATTAAAAGTTTCATGTCTTGAGTAGGTACAGGGGATTTAATAGCTATTCTTATTATCTTATTGTGTTGTAATTCTACAAATGTACTGAAGAAAGAATTATTGAGTACATACTGTGTGCTAGGCAGTGTTTTTAGCTCTTTAAGTAGAATAATGAAGACAGAAAAGGTTTGTGCTCATCTAGAGCTTGCATTTTAGTGATCTCATATTTTCAGTATTAAAATTTCAGTTTTTTGGTGTTTATTTATTTATTTTTTCTCAAAGAAAAACCTTGCCTTTTATGTTAATATCCATAATCCAGCTTAGTACCTGTCGCATGTTGTTGTTAGGTGCCATTGAATCTGTAGCGACTCATAGCTACCCTTTGTACAACAGAATGAAACACTGCCCCATCCTGCACCAGTCTCACAATTGTTGCTAACGCTCGGTGGAGCCCATTGCTAATGTCACCATGCCAATCCTTCTCATTAGGGGTTTTCCTCATTTTGCTGACCCTCCACTTTATCAAGCATGATGTCCTTCTCTAGGCACTGGTCACTCCTGATAATATGTCTGAAGTATGAGAGACCAAGTCTGCATCCTGGCTTCTAATGAGCATTCTGGTTGTACTTTTTCCAGCACAGATTTGCTCGTTCTTCTGGCAGTCCATGATACTTTTTGAATATTCTCCTCCAACATTATAAGTCAAATGCATCAATTCTTCTACAGTCTTCCTTATTCATTGTCCAACTTTCACACGCATGTGAGTCTATTGAAAATATCATGGTTTGGGTATAGCGCACCTTAGTCCTTAAACCTGTGTCATTACTCTTAAACACTTTCAAGAGGTCTTGTGCAGCATATTTACCTAATGGAATAGGACGTTTCATTTTTAAACTATTGCTTCCGTGATCCAAGCAAAGTGAAGTCTTCGATAACTTCAATTTTTTCTCCATTTATCTTGATGTTATTTATTGGTGGTAAGGATTTATATTTTATTTGCGTTGAAGTGCAACCCATACTGAAGGCTGAAATATTTGATCATCAGTATGTATTTTAAGTCCTCTTCACTTTCAGCAAGCAAGATAGTATCATCTGCATTTTGCAGATTGTTAATGAGTCTTCCTCCAATCCTGATGCCATGCTCTTCTTCATGCAATCCAGCTTCCTGGATTATTTGCTCAGCATGCAGATTGAATTAAGTATGATGAAAGAATACAATGCTGGCACACACATTTTTAAATTGTAAACCATTCAGTGTTCCCTTGTTCTATACAAACAACTGCGGTTTGGTCTGTGTATAGGTTCCTCATGAGCACATTAAGTGTTCCAGAATACTCATTCTCTGCAATGTTGTCCGTAACTTGTACTGATCCACACAATCAAAAGCCTTTGTGTAGTCCATTAGGCACAGGTAAACATCTTTCTCGTATTCTGTGTTTTCAGCCAGTATCCATCTGATGTCAGCAATGATATCCTTCCTTCCACGTCCTCTTCTGAATGTGACTTGAACCTGTCCGTTCCCTGTCAGTGTATAGTTGCAGCCATTTTTAATAATCCTAAGCAAAATTTTACTTCCATGCAATATTAATGATATTTTCCAAAGAATTCCACATTTCATTGGGTCACCTCTCTTTGGAATGAGCATTAATATGGATCTCTTACAATCAGTTGGCAACATAGCCGTTTTCCAAATTTCTTGGCATAGACGAGTGAGTGCCTCCAGTACTGCATCAGTTTGTTGGAAGATTTCAGTTTGTGTGCCATTAATTCCTGGAGTCTTGTTCTTCGTCAATGCTTTCAGTACACCTTGAACTTCTTCCTTCGGTACCATTGGTTCTTGATCATATGCTACCTCTTAAAATAGTTGAACATAGTTTCTTTTTGGTACTGTAACTCTGTATATTTCTTCCGCTTTCTTTTGATGCTTTCTTAATCATTCACTATTTTGCCTCTTAGAACTAATAAATATTTGTTCAGTTAGTGGATATAATAAATGAATATTTAGACAGAAGTAAGTTAAAATGAGGCAAGTGCTTTCAAATGCTGAAAAAGATAGACTGGAATACATTTTTTACTTTTCAACAGATTTTATCTTTGTTTATGACTTCTATACTTGTTCATTTTGTGTGGTTATTATAACTTCTTTAATTATATCACACTTAAGAATTCTAAATTGAAATACATGTGGTACGTATTAATGAAATAAATGTATGGTTAATTTTAAATATTGGGAATTGTTGCTCTTTCTCCACATACTGCTAGAAATATATTTTCTCAATTAGGTTTATTTTTATATGGGTGTATACTTAATGTCTTTCAAAGTAAGGGAACGCTCCCATTTATCCTGAGATCTAACATCTTGAAAATTGATTTTTATTTTCTCTTATTTTTAGGAAGGAAATAGATGACAGAATTACTCTTTAATGATTACTGTTAGAAGCTAAAATAATGTTTATGTTAATAGAAAAATTTCTGTTTGCTATAATAATCTGAGTAGAATAAATTTAAGCCTGAAAAAGTACTGATAGCAAAGCCTTCCTGTCTTTTTGGACTTTTTGTCCTAATTAGTTCCTTGCCCCCTTTGCAGAGGCTGCAGTTGCTTCTACTGAATCCATTAAAGGAGATGTCCAATATTAACCATCCTGACATCCGGCTCAAACAATTGGAATGTGTATTGCAGATTCTGCAGAGTCAGGGAGACAGTCTTGGGCCTGGATGGCCATTAGTGCTTGGAGTCATGGGAGCAATCAGAAATGATCAAGGGTAAGTGTGTAAAATTAAAATCCCAGAAAGGATACAGGAGGAGAGGGGATCTGTTCCGAAATCTTATGCAAGTGGTAATTTTTTTTTTTTTTTTTTTTAATGTATGTTCTTCCTGGTTAAGTCTGAGATCTAGAATTCTAAACCCTACTCCCAAGTGGCTGTAGGGAATTTCTAGAACTCATCTTTGTTGCTGAAGAATGAAGAAATTTCTGTTTGTTTTACACTTACCTCAGAATACAAGGTTCTTACTTACAAATAAATAAATAAATATAGTGAATTTTACAGCATGTACAAATAGGGTTTTGTTTCATTTTGTTTAAATTAACACTTTGACAAGATATGAAATCGTATTTATGCCCCGACATCTCTCTCTGTATTAGAAAATCAAAGAAACTGATTTATAATGAAATAGGTTTTCGTTCAGTTGGGTAAAAACCTAAGAGTGCAATTGCTGGGTGCTGTAGGATAAGTAAGGTTGGTTTGAATAGCAAGACCAGCGGTTCAAACTCATCAGCTGCTTCTGGAAAACCCTATACAGGATTGGTATGAGTTGGAAATGACTCAGTGTCATTTAACAGCAACAACAACAACATGGTAAGGTTATGTTTAGCTTTGCAAGAGACTGTCAAATTATTCTCCGTTTTTGGATGTCAGCCATTGTTGAGGACCGGCCTCGACGGGAGTTTGGTTCACGTAGTAGGGAGATCTGGCAGCGACAGAGACAGAAAAAGAGTACACACAAAGGTGCAACGAGAAAGACAAAGAGACACCCCGAAACTAGAGTGGATGCAAAACTGGCGGGCAGAACCTGGACTACAGGCATCGTGGCCCCTACAGGCAGTAATGCACAGCCAGCCCTGCAGGCAGTAATGCATGAGGGCTTCAGTCTGCGCTCCCTTTTTATTTCAGGGAGGGGCTTTACACAAAGGCAGAAGGGGATTATTAAGACAGGCTACAGAAATGAAATGTGATTAATCATTCAAAACAGGACACAATGATCTATAGGAACAAATTCTAAAACATACATCACAAATTGTCTTGATAATCTAACATCCTTAATTTTCTAGAAATTCAAGCAAATTGTTATAAATTATATTTTAGGTTCGAATCCCAAGGCAGCAGCTTGAGGTTTCTCCAGGCTAATTAACATACCTATAGCTCTTAATCTCAGATGGGTTAAGGTGAAAAGGATTCAAAAGGTCTGGAAGGAGTCCAGCTGTTTCAGCTACCTGGCCTAGGCTTACAGAAGGAAGGAGGACACCTACGTTAATGGTTTGCACCTGGGGACGCACCTGGGGACTATTTGAGAAGGCTGTCACTATTGTTCCTTGAACAATACCCCGGAATTTGCCAATCTACTTTGAGTGAATTCCTTGGGCAGACTGTCTCCAGAGTTTTCCAGCAAACTTGCCTTTGGAACTTTTTACAGCCTCGGCTTTAGGAGGGGCTTTTGTTTTAATATTTGTCCGTGGGTATCAAGGGCTCATGTATTAAGTTAATATCAAACATAACTGAATAACTTGATAAAGAACAGTTTTGCCATGCTTGCCAGGTGGCCAGAGTTTGTTCCTCAGAGAGATTTGTTCCCAGAACCTTACACACTGCCAACACAGTGGAGACATTAAGAGAGGCACATAAGAAACCATTTTCTCAGAAGCTACAATTACTGGAGTTCGAAGCATAGAATGAATAATAGGACCAAAGAAAATTATACAGAGCTAGCCCAACAGTGAGTTCATAAAAGCCAATGAACCTGGGACATCCGGAGGTTACTTCCTTGGGCCCTCAGGGTCCCTGGCTAGCCATCCTGAGTGGGGCCATCGTGTAGGATTTTCGTCCATGACACAGGGCCTCAACATCTCAGTGATGGCGGTCCCCAACAAGCCATCCTAATAGGTGTGTAGTAGTTGTTGTGTTGTTGTTGTTAAGTGCCGTCGAGTCGGTTCCAACCCATAGCGACCCTGTACAAGGTTTCCGAGGGTGTAGTAGTATCTGGTTTAAATTTCCAATTCCTTAAAGTGCTAATTTTTTTTGCTATTGACTTTGGAAATCATTTAGCCTCTGTACATCAATATACTCTAAGATATTGTAGACTGAAATGAATTGTTGTTAGGTGCCACTGAATCACTTCCGACTCATACTGACCTTATGTTCAACACAACGAAACACTGCCCAGTTCTACACCATCCTCACTATTGTTACTTTTGAGCCCATTGCTGCTGTCACTGTGCCAGTCTGTTTCATTAGGGGTTTTCTTATTTTTTGCTGATACTTCACTTTACCAAACTTCATGTTTGGTATGCGAGACAAAGTCTCACTCTCCTGGCCTCTAAGAAGCATTCTGTCTGTATTTCTTGCAAGACTGATTTATTTGTTCTTCTGGAAGTCCATAGTACTTTTAATATTCTCCTCCAACACCATGACTCAAATACATCAAATTTTCTATGGTCTTCCTATTCACTGTCCAACTTTTACATGCAAATGAGACTATTGAAAATACTATGGCTTGGATCAGACGCACCCTAGTCGCACCCTAGTCCTCAAACTGCTATCTTTGCTGTGGTGGTCGTGATGACTGTGGTATGCTGTACAGTTGGTTCTGACTCATAGTGATCCTGCATAGGGTTTCCGAGACTGCAAATCTTCACGGGAGCAGATAGCCTCAACTAGAACACTGTAAAGAGGTCTTATGCAACAGATTTACCTAATGCAATAAGTAATTTCCTTTCTTACTGTTGATTCCACGACTATGGATCCAAGCAAAATGAAGTCTAGGCAACTTCAATCTTTTTTCTATTTAACAAGATGTTATTTATCGGTCTAGTTGTGAGGATTTTGTTTTCTTTACCCATAATGAAGACTGTGGTCTTTGATCTTACTAAGTATTTGAAGTCGTCTTTGCTTTCAGCAAGCAAGGTTATATCATCTATGTATTGCAGGTTGTTATGAATTGATGCAGGTATAAAACACTTAAAGCCCAAACAAAAACAAACCCACTGCCATTGAGTTGATGATGACTCATAATTATACTATATAGTTTCTCCAAGGCTGCTGCTTCTCCTTTGGAGTTTGGGTTTAAACAGCTTGCCCTGCTGTTAGCAATCCAGTTCTTATCCTTACGGCAACCACCAAGGCTCCTGGTAAAATACAAATGCATGAAACAGGAAGCACACTGTGTAAACTATTAGTATTATTTTCATTACTTTTCACCAATAGAATTCCTATCCAAAATCAATACTTTGTTACATTTAAAATATTACTTTGTTACTTATATTTTTATAGTTATTTAAAAACTGTTGATAGAAGTTTTGTACAAAAAAAGGGGAATGGTTAATCTTACAGTCCAGAAACAGAGAACTCTAGGACCATCAAGAGAGGACCGCACAAGCAGAATGCGGGACCTTATCCAGAGAAGCAGCAGTGCCAGAGATGGAGGCAGAGATGGGGGCAGGCAGAAGGAGAGTAGCTGAGGGCTCTAGATTCATGGACTAAGAGAGAATGACTAAGAGCTGGTGGCCAGGAGCAGACTTGCAGAATGTGCCCTTTGGAAATGTAAACTATTATATATGCCTGAGTGGGTTTTTTTGTTTGTTATTTAAAAAGCTAAAGTGGATAGACAGAAATACTGTTAATTGATGGTACATGGAGGGGAGTATGATCATTGTAATGAAACAAGGTATACTATTTGTTGACTGTAAAACTGATTATATGCCCTGTAAACTTTCACTCAATCCACAATAAAAACCTTAAAAAAAAAAAAAAAAAAAAACGGAAAAAAAACCCCCCAAAAAAAAAAAAAAAAAAAAAAAAACTGTTGACTACTTATTTTCAACATCTGAATGATCTACAGGTCTGTTTCTATTAATTGATCTTTTTATTGATTATTGGTCACATTTTCCTGTTTCTTTCCATATGTAACAATTTGTTTTGTTTTGTTTTACTTTTTATTGTGAATTGAGTGAAGGGTTACAGATAAGATCATCAGTTTTGCATTCAACAAACCATACACTTTGTTTCATCTCAATGATTACAATCCCCTCCTTGCAACAATAGTCATCTCACTCCTACCTATGGTTCTTATTTCCATTCCAATCCTTGTGAACTTTGTCCTTAGGTAAATTTTGTTATTTTGATCTTGAATGATTGACTACATACGTTACTACTGTTGATGTTTCCTCCATATACCTCTTTATTGCTTGGCTGAAAATTGATCCATGAGGGTGAGTTCTTTTCCAGACCTAAAAGATAGTCAAGGGCCATAATCTCTGTTTCCTCCATTGTCTTTCTTACCAATAAGCCCTGTTGGGTTTTATTGTTGTTTATTAATAATAATTTTGAGTTTTGTTCCACATTTTCTCTATCAAGAAACTTCTAATGTGATCCCTTTCAGTGCAGTTGGTTTTTATAGCTAGGTACCAATAAGTTCTTCTGTTTTAAGAGTCTTGGTGACTGATAACTCGCATGCTCCTTTGGTCCATTGGACTAGTTGATTCCAAGAATCTTCACTTTTCATCACTCTTCTTCAAGTGGAGAGACCAGCAGTTGCACCTTAGTTGGTCTCTCATGATCCCAGACGCTGCTCACCAAAGTAGGATGTAGAACATTGTCTTTGTGGACTTTGTTATGCCAATTGACCGTGGAGTCCCCTGAGACTGTGATTCTGGGCCCCCAGGGTCAGCCACTCATTGCCTTAAGATGTTTGATAATATCTCAGAAGTATTTATCTTTTTTCCCACTGTATAGTCCACTGCGTTCATAGCTGTGTTTGCAACAAGGGTAAATACCTATGTACCACCATTCTCTTTCAAACACTTCAATGTTTGTGGATGTAGTCCCAGACTTCCTCCCATACCCATTTAGCTGGTGTATGTGACCATGTATCTACCCGAAGAACACTGTTGTTCCAGTGTTGTATATGTAGCACTGTTTACCTCTACCCTTTTTAGCCCTTATATACCTTCCTGTGTCTTCATCTGTCTTTATCATCCTTCTGCCAATCT